TTCTCCACCACTTTAAAAATCCATACTTTTTAAAGAAATGTATGCCATGTGATTCTACCATGCATTCTATCCTACTCTATGATACCATCTCTTAACCTCTATAGTCCGGGCACTCAGCCTACCCACTGAAGATGTTCGCAACTGTATATAGTTTCCTTCACATCCTAGCTTTGGGACAACTCCAAAACCTAAGTGAATGATCTATAAAACACCTGAGCTCTATACTACTTGGCCTTTTCATGTACAGTGATGCTTTGTGTTTCATTTCACTTGCCAACTCTGATGGCCACTCTGTGAATTATCCATAGTTTCCTAGACTCCAGAATCATTAATTCAAGCATTTCCCTCCCTTAATAAAGCCAATTATCTTTCTAGCTTGCTTGCTTTAATACTCCTTTGTACAAATTTCCTCAACATCTTTGGGACTTCTAGTACATAAAATACTCTACATTCTCTTTCTGCTACTCTTACTCTATCTTCACTCTCTTTATTCATTCTAGAGTCTATGGTGTATCTTTCATAGTATCTTGCTAAAACACATCTTTGCTCTTCTTTTCTTTGCCACTTCAACCCAAACTTATGCCTTCTTCCTGCATGCACCAAGGCAAAAGCATTACTGGAGAAAGTTATAGATCCAGATAGATCAGTTCTATTATAAATTCAGGGTCATGAATATCAATTGTGTGTTTCCTCTTGATTACATCTTTTATCCATTAAGAATAAAGCCAAGTCATACGCAAAAGGAAGATTAGTTGGATGGATGCTTGGAAAAAAATACATAAGTTTTAATTAATCATTGCTGATAATGTTGCCAAATAATGTAGAGGAAATCTAATTAAATTTGAATTTCAGATAAATAATAAATAATTTTTAGTATAAATATATCCTAAGTATTGCATTGGACATACTTATATTTAATAAACACTATTCATTGTTTATCTGAAATTCAAATTTAAGTGGGTGTCTTGTGTTTTTATTTGCTAAATTTAGCAACTCTGGTTGCATTGAGTAGGAAATTGAGTGGACTATAGAAGCATAGCAAGGTTGCCTTAAAGTAATGAAGACCTGTACTGTTTTATCACCTGCAACTGCACTCTTTACCACCTGCAATAAAGTAATAAAGATGTCTACACAGGATATAAAAGAGTCACCATGGCATAGGGCAGGTGTGACAATTCAAAACTAGGATAACCTGTTTGTCCTGATATTAATGTACTAGAGTACAAATTCCATTAGGATTAAGGTACTGACAAAAGCCACAGAAAGTACTTTTAAGTGATACAGAAATTTTAAGACTAAACTCTTCTCAGGTTACTGTATCATGATGGAAATACAAGACACTTTTTCACCAGAAAAGCAAAGCAGCTTTCCAGAAGAACGCAGATAAAAGAAACTTTTATGGAGGGCCTATGGGTCTCTAGTAACAAAAATAGGTATATGTATAGTTAGTTCTTTTCTGTGGCTCAGAGGTTACTTTTTGGGATATTTTCTGATTCTGTACGATGTAAAATCTCAAAAAGAAGAAAAGAGTTACACACTGTTAGACTTTCCCCCTGAATTGGCTTCTCTCTGAGTTGATGCAAGACTGGCCTGAGGGTGAGAAAACAACAGAAATCAATGCTGTGGTTGAAAGTCCTGCTTTAAACTCTCCTTATTCTTCTCTCCTCTCATATTCCATCATCCTTCAAGTGTGTATTCCTGGGCTCCGCCATGCATGGTGTGATTGGGCCGGAGAGGAGAAGGACTTTATTTTCAAAGGGAGGATAAAAACATATACAATTGAGAGCAATGTTGGATTAAGAAAACATTTAGGCAGCACTGTATATTTCCTTAAGAGAGAACTAGACCAGTTCTGATCATTTTCTGATAGTTCCAGAGTATCTGTTGAAAATACAATGGCATGGATCTTGATTAAGAGGAGTTAGAACCACTGAATGACTCATAGAAAGCAATGCATTTACTTAAGAGAACCCGTAAGACCCCTACCTTGCACAGATAACTTGCAGGAAGTGTGAACCTCATCCATAGCCCAAAGAGAAACCTCCACCTCTTTTCTGGTCAGAAGTCTTTCACCTCAAACCACCAGGTAAGTCTCTACAGTCTCAGTTGTCCCAAAGCAATTTACAGACTTACAGTTGACTTACAGACATCAGAGAGAGCTATCAATGCATGGATTCAATGGAGGGACCTTAGGAAGGTCCCTCTGCCCTCCTTCAATCCCAAATGGCCCCTTTACCACATTCACCTTTAAACAGGTTTAATCATCTAGTGGTAGACCCTTGTTAACATGCATTTTCTCTTAAGACAGCAGGCTACACATGCATTGGTCTGATGTACCATGATCTTCATACATTCATCAAGAGAGGTAAGACACCTTTGTGTTGAAACTGTGGTTTCTGGGGCTAGACTGCCTGGGCTTAAACCCCAGCTCTGACATTATTAATAGCTATAGAAATGTGTGCCAAGTTTTTAACCTGTCATTGTTCCAGTTGTCTCATTTGTAAAATGGGGCTGCTAATAGTACCCATCTCCCATCTCATAGTTGTCTCTAGAATAACACCTGGTATGTAACAGATGCTCAGCAAAACCCAGCTATGATAATTATCAAATTACTTTCCATGATAGGAGTTTTGGTAAGGGGCTAGGTGAAAAGAGTATGAGGTTGAAGGATCACCAAGGATGCTGAATTAGGTGCTGAGGGCATCAAAACTAAACGTTGTCTACTCAATGGCACATAGTGAGCACTGAATTATCACCTGTGGGGAGGAGTTTGGACTTGCTTATTAAAGTAGCCAACATTCATAAAAAAATGATAACAAATGGGTTGAAGATTGTTGGCAAAATTTTTGTGTTGGAGTAATCCTAGTTTATACTTCCAGCTTGAGGGTGAGTGGAAATAGCACCAAAAGTGCTAAGGGAAGGAGTAAAAGGAGCATATCTGTAGGTCTCAGAGGTACTTATAAATCTCTATACCTCTGCTTATTTTGAGTTAAGGTCTCCAGGAATTTCTTACCACTCAGGGATAAACCTGATTGCCAAAATAAAGTTCAGACCATCTTTAAAATATTAAAACTCTACTCAGTAAAGTAATTCTTTCCTCATTTAAAAAACCTGTATATTTAATATTTCCAGTGTCACCAAGTTGATGTCTCAGCTCTTTGTTTTTAAATAATTCAATCTTTGAGGAAGAATTTTCTCCTAAAATTTTATTTTTCCATTATAAAAATAATCATTAAAGAAGAATTTCCTATGAAAATTTTATTTTTCCATGACAATAATGTAACAACATTATAAAATTTTGTGGCATAAAAGAGAAACATCGCACATAATATCACTCTAACTCATAATTAATAGCACTTTGGTGTTTTTACCTCAGTCTTTTTTTCTTTTGCATTTTTAACCTAACCACATGTAAGATAGGAGATTATTGTGTTCTGCTTTTTTCTCAATATCATTATCAAAGCTTTTTTTCCCCTACATGATTACATAACCCACTTAACCATTAAATGACAACATTATTGTGATGGTTAATTTTGTGTTTCAACTTGGCTAAACTATGGTGTCCAGTTGCTTAGTCAATCACTAATCTAGATGTTGTGAAATTTTTTAAGTAAGTGATTTACAATCTGTTGACTGTAAGTTAAGCACATTACCCTCCATAATGTGCATTGGTCTGATCCGATCAGGTGAAGGCTTTAAAAGACAGAAGTTTACCAAAGCATTTTGTCTCAAGACTACAGCATAGAAATCTTGTCCCAGTTTCCAGACTGTTGGCCTGACCTGTGGATTATGGATTCAAGACAGAAACATTAACACTTACCTGAATTTTCAGCCTGCCCGCCTGCCCTATGGATTTTAGAGTTGCCAGCCTCTACAATTGCATGAGCCAATTCCCTAAAATAAACTTTTCCCTTTCACATATGTGTGTGTGTATACACCTACGTATATCTTACTGGTTCTATCATCTGGAGAACACTGACTGATAGAATTATAATCTATCAAGTTCTTAAAGTTATTTAACTGCTATACATTATTGAGTATTTTAGCTTTTTCCAAATGATAGTACTATAAATAATACATCAATATATTTATGCACTTGTTCATATTTTGTTATTACTCTATCTTGAAATAGATATTTAGAAGTTGAGTTATGAATGTTAAAAGTATTCCTACTTTTTTTTGTTGGCATATATGTTCACTTCTGCCAACAATATAATGTTCATTCCATGGGTTATTATCTTTTAAAAAGTGTGGGCCACGTCAATAAGCAAATCCAAACCCCTTACCATGGGTTACACATTTCAGTGTTTACTTGGTCTATAGGGAGCTACAAAAGAAAACATAAAATTAAAAAGAAAGAAGATATGAGAGTACAGCACTCCAGACAGAAGGAACAGAAAGTACAAAGGAACGGTCTCTAAATAAAAACAGGTTTGACTTGATGAAAGGCAGCCAGTGTGGCTGATGAACAATGGAGGGAGTGGCAGGAGATTAGCCTGGGTAGAAAGATTCTGGTAAGGCGTGTGGGTATGGGAAGCTATTGGAGGGTTTTAAGTCTGGGGTGTTGGCATGATCAGATTCATATTTTTAAAGATGGCTCTGGCTTCTGATTGAATAAACAAAAATAGAAGTAGGGTGGTCAGTTAGGAGGCTATTTCAGTAGCCAAGTGGGAGATGATAATGCTTGGACTAGAGAGGAAGAAGTGGGGATGGCAAGAAGCACTTGGGTTGGGAAAAAAGTTGAAGATAGAACTTAGAGAACTGCCTGTTGAACTGTATGGAAGAGACAGTAAAGGAAGGAGCTGGGGTATAGTCTGCAGATAGGTAGTGCCTACCAACCACTGGGGGCTCAAACAAGAGAAGACGGACGCTCCCTCACCAGTCCTATGGACACACATGCTTGAGATAATGCCTAGTCTACTTTTTCTTGAACCAAACACATACTTATCAATCAGGCGCTGGTAAAGTCTCAAACAGTTCTTTTTTTTTTTTTTTTCCAGGAGGCCAGGAAATATTTTATTGACAACCAGGGACATAGCCATAAGAGAGGGAAACACACAGGACTGCAAACTAAAACCCAACAGCCAGCAAGGGCCCTCTGGGCCAGGAATACTGCATCCTGGGGTCCTCACAGTCTCCCACCAGTAGATACACATGACTAGGCATCCAGGAGAGGGGGCAGTGGCTCTGTTGTCCCAGAGAGTGAGAAGATATATGATGCCTCATTATGAGAGACAGGGTAGGGAGGTAAAACGGAGGGAGGGTCTATCACTGCCTTAGCCCACCTCCTCCTCTCAGAGCCAACACCAGGTGGAGGACTGAACCACCTAGGATCTTGTAGTCAGCTGCTGTCTTCTCATCATTCATCCGTTTGCCACTGTAGATGAGCCGCTATTGTTGTGGGGGGATTCCTTCTTTCTCCTCCACACGCTCCTTGATTCGCTCCACCTTGTCTGTGGGTTCAATGTCAATCTCAATCTCCTTTCCAGTCAGCGTCTTCACTTTAATTAGCATCTTCTTTCCAGTTTGGGGCTGCACGCGGATAAATTGCTGCTCCTGCGGCTGCGGTCGCTGCTGCCGCTCTCCAGCGCTCCGCCTGTGAGAATCACTTCCTCAAACAGTTCTTTAATAAAGGGTTTACATGCCTGTTTCCAAGTTGTACAGAGTTGAGAGGTGGAAAAAAGGACATTGTGTTCACTATAGTGTCTTCTGCCCTACTCCTGAACACGAAGGACATTCACATCCGACCAGGGCGAACAGAAAGGGCCGCATCTCAGGGACACTGATTTATTTCCTTCCTCCTCATCCTTTCTTTTCATCCCTGCAGCCTTCTCTCTTTAACACTTTACCGAAACTCATGCTTTCCTCCAGGATCTGCTGCCTCTCCTAAGAAGAATCAGTTCTCAACCTCAACAAGCCCTTCCTTCTGTCTTAACAATTTAACAGTGTTAGGCACAGACTGAATGTCGGTGACTTCTCCCCTCTGTCCAATTAAATATTCTGCAAAAGAGACGTGGCAGTATCCGTGGGTAACTTTACAGAAAAATGAAGAGTGAGTTTGGACCTTTTGAATGGGACGAGAGAGTGAAGGTAGAAATGATGGTTCACGTGGAGTTTATGACGTGAAGGTAATTTTCTCCTAGAGATTTCAAAACACTTTCACAACCCACAGTGATAAATTTCCCGTCCACCAATTCCCATCCAGCCCTTACAAGAGGTATATATATATCCCCTCTATCAACATAATATTGAAACTTTGAAAATACTTAAGACCTTTGCTTTTCAATGCTAAGAAAGGCACATCCCTTCTTACCTTGAGCTACATTGCTGAGTGTTCTGTATTAACCAACAGTGAATGGTACCATTCACTGTTTCTTTCTTTTTTCTAGTTACATGTAATTAACAACTTTCTTCAAGGTGAGAGGAGTGGTGGGCAACAGAAATATTGCACAACTTTATATGTCTGACTTAGAAATGCTTGTCTCTAGACAGAGCACAAAATGCTGTCTGCGTGTTGTAAACAAGAGAAACACCATGAAGGTTATTTGGTGGCCCAAATCCATGGTTGCTAAAGTGAGCAAAAGTTTGCATGGCAGGCGCCTACAGTGAGAAGGAAACCGAACACCTTCTCTGCCTGTTCTTGGTGCAGGAGCTAGACCAAAGTGAAAGCCAGATGCTATGAACTGCAGCTTCACCAGCAGGTAGAAGAAATGAGGAAGAAAGAGAGCTGGGACTTTCCAGTTTTAGTTCTCTTCCCACTCCAAGCCAAGAAGAGGATCACTGAAGTGATCATACATATGTTTAAAAACATACTTTTTTCTTCCCATTGACTGAGCCCTCTAAACAATTCAGACATTTACCCTAAGAAATATTAGGTATAAGACACTTCAACTCCCACTTATTTATAATTCAATACTTGGTGTGGCAGAAATTGCTAGTTGTTAACCAAAATCCACTTGTTGGCTCATTCCCAAATTTTAAGTGATTACCTAACCAAAGATTTTATTTCCCAGCCTCCCTTGTAGCCAGGCATGGCCAATAAGATTAAGTTTCAGCCAATGGAATGTCAGTGGACATAATGGATATTACTTTCTGGTTGTACCCTCAAAGAGAATGAGCAAGTTGGCCTCATTCTTCCCTTCTCATCATCTGGGACACAAATGAAATGATGAGAACCATAGAAGACAACATTGACCAAAAGATGAAATCCATGTGTTAAGGATGGTAAAGTTGTCCTGCTAACTAACACTGGACACTCAACTCTGGACTTTTGTATGAGAGAATTAAAATTCAATCTTATTTCAGCCACTGTATTTGCAATTCTCTTTATAAAAGCAGGTTGGTTATAGTCTAACTAACACATAACATAGTGCTGGACATGGGGAATTTCTATTGCAAAAACCTAAAATGGCTACGTAATTAGTCAGGGGCAGTGAAAACTTGGGTGTTATGGCTGGAAAGGTACATAGGTATTGTGACACTTACTACACCAGAGCAAAATATTTTTTAAAAGTGTCACCTGTGAAACCTTGGCAGAATGATCATGTTCTCACTGATCACTTTTCCTTTAGCTCTAGGAAAAATGATTAGAAAATATCAGAGTTTGTCGGCTACTTCTCGTCACTCTTATTATAACCAAGTCCAAGTTTGTACCGCTGGCTGTATGACAGCCAGTAAGTTGAGAGATAAGGTGTTGGGGCAAGGAAAGTGGCTTTTATTCAGGAAGCCATCAAAGCAAGAATGTGGCAGACTAATGTCCTAAAGAACCATCTTAAGTCACCATCAACCTTAGGCTCCTTTTTTATGTTAAGGGAAGGGGGAAAAGGGGAAGGGTTGCAAGAGATGACCAATGAATGACAGCAGACATTTGGGTTTCAGCGATGGTCCAAGGAGGTTGTGAAACTTCTTTGTTCTTGGTCAGTCAACTTTGGAGGACATAGGTCAGCTCACAAAGTGCCTATAAAGCTTTAGCACGGCATTGTCATTAAATACGTGTGCATACTTTCCTTATCTCCTTGTGAGTTAATTTTGGGAAAGGGATGGTTATCATCTTTCGTCTAGAGAGCTACATACTGAATTCTTCATATAATTAGCTAGTCCACTTGAGGAGTTAAGCAGAAGCTTTTAACCTAAAAGATACCACCACAGGGGTCAGAAGCAAAATGGAGCTGGTCAGGTTACACCTCCCTTCCACTGTCACATTATCAAAGTTCTTCAAGAAAGAACTCAGGCAAGAGTCAGACATTCTTCTGGCAAAGAGAGAAAGGGGTACAGCCCTGTTGAGGGAGATTCTCTCCTCCTGAGGCCATAAATTAAAATATACTAACATTGTTACAGTAGATATGAACAAGGAAGAAGGAAACTTCTCCCTAGGAGAAGAAAAGACCCATTCATTTCCCAGCATCACACAGGTGCAAAGTGACCTTTCCTCCGTTATTGCACAATTGCGATAAGTTAACATTGTGGTTTTGACCCCCCTTGTGGGAAAAACAGGGGAACTATGAGTAAGAACAGAATGAACACTGACCGCCCAGCCTTCTTTGACTTCAACAAATAAAAACAGCAACTGCTGGGGGTTCGGGGCAGCTGCTTTTTTCGAGCCTGCCTGCTCCATTTCTTGGGAGTCTACTTTCCCTTCTGCACAAGGCTTTCCTAAGCTGGTCTGCTTTCATTCAATAAACTTGCCACTACTGCTCGGTTGTGTGCGTATCCTGAAATTCCTTTCTATAACATTAACAAGAACCTTTACACGGGTGACAAGATGGCGGATTTTGTTGGACACACTATCCTAGACTTTGGCCTAGGCAAAGAATTTATGAAGAAGACCCCTAAGGCAATCACAGCAGCAACAAAAATAAATAAATGGGACCTGATCAAACTAAAAAGCTTCTGCACAGCCAAAGAAACAGTCATGATAGCAAACAGACAACCCATGGAATGGGAGAAAATTTTTGCATCCTACACATCTGATAAGAGGCTGATAATTAGAACTCAGGAAAATCAGCAAGAAAAAAATCAAACAACCAAATCAAAAAGTGAGCAAAGGACATGAACAGAAACTTTTCAAAAGAACACAGAATAATGGCCAATAAACATGTAAAAAAATGCTCAACATCTCTAATCATCATGGAAATGCAAATCAAAACCACAATGAGATATCACTTATATCAAAAAGTCTCAAAACAATCAATGTTGACGTGGATGCAGAGAGATAGGAACACTCCTACATTGCTGGTGGGACTGCAAACTAGTTCAACCTCTGTGGAAAGCAATATGGAGGTACCTTAAAGTGATACAAGTAGATCTACCATTTGATCCAGCAATTCCACTACTGGGCATCTACCCAAAAGAACAAAGGACAATCTACAAAAAAGACACCTGCACCGAATGTTTATAGCAGCACAATTCACAATTGCAAAGATGTGGAAACAACCCAAGTGCCCATCAGTACATGAGTGGATTAATAAAATGTGGTATATGTATACCATGGAGTACTATTCAGCTCTAAGAAACAATGGTGATATAGCACATCTTGTATTTTCCTGGATAGAGCTAGAACCCATACTACTAAGTGAAGTATCCCAAGAATGGAAAGACAAGCACCACATATACTCATCAGAAAATTGGTATTAACTGATCAGTACCTAAGTGGACACATAGGAATTACATTTACTTTGTATTGGGCAAGTGGGAGAGGGGAGGAGGGGATGGGTATATACCTACATAATGAGTGAGATGTGCACCATCTGGGGGATGGTCACACTTGAAGCTCATATTTGTGGGGGCATTATATGCAACCTTAAAATTTGTACCCCCATAATATGCTGAAATTTAAAAAAAAAAAAAAAAAGATGGCGGATTTTAAATTGCTTCTTCCCTACCACAATAAGAAAAGCCTGTACATTTCTCAAGTGCTGCCCTCTATCTTCTCTGGGAGACAAAGGAAATCAGCCCAGAGGCACTTATCAGATTAAAGATGTTTTCTTCCCACCCAAGCTTAGTTGTCTCAGATGGCTTCTGGATAGCCACCCTTGAACTGAGGAAGGGATGGGCTACACATGGAGACCAGTGAATAAGAGATCAGGCTTAAGGATGTGTTTAGGAATTATTGCATAAAACAGCATGAGCATTCCAATGAACTGAGCAGACAGGTTGTTTTCATACACAGAGAAAGCTGAGGAAAGCAGAAACAGAGAACAAAGAGGAGATTGGTTGTTTCAAAGATACTTTCCTTGTAAAGATCAAAAGAGAGAGGAACTCCCTCATCATGCCAGCTAAAACTGGCTTGTTTGGAGATTTGGCTAATATCTGTCACTCTCCTGATTTCTCAGAAGGACAGACAGACAATTTAGTTTGGACTACGTGACCTGGAACTGCAGCATGAGTGACTCCATGATGATTTAACCAGTTGGGCCACGTGCAAGACCTCAATCCAGATCAGTAATCTTCTATAAATTTTATTTAACAGACATATGGACATTGTGTGTTGGGGGGGCAGGGAGGCAAGCAGGTAACTTATAATAAAAGGTAATTTATCTGGTGAAGCCATATCCAGACTGGACTAAAAAGACTGTGCCTTCAGTAGGTAGCCAG